CAGCTGATACCCTGGCAAGGTGGTGGTCTACCTCACTGCAGTGAGTTCTAATAAATATATTTGGCTTTGCTGTATTAAATGACTGTTTTGTGATATTTGAGGTAGTTCAGCAAAAGAGAATGTCAACGGTGCTCTACACGTTCAGAGAAACTTCTCTAATAACAAACTATAGAAATGATCCCTGAAAAGTTAGTCTTAATAACTCTTCTTTTTGTTGCCAAAATGTGCAGTCAGTATATCCTTAAAATCATTCAGTTTAATTTTATTGCCCATTGTGCTGGAAGCATTTCCTCTCCAGAGGCATCCCTCCAGGAGCCTCCAGTTTTTGCTTTAATCCCTGGCAGTTTCTCTGCTGTGCAACCCTTATTCTGGAACTTCACGCCATTCCTCAGTTATCAGCACTGATTTCTGAATCTCATGTTTTCCTTCTTCATGGTTTACATCCTGGAATACATACTTTAGTATCTTCCTTGGAAACAATATGGGGGAAGTAAATTTTCTGAACTCTTATCTGAAGGAGCTCTGTCACCCAGGCTGGAGTGAGTGGCATGATCTCCGCTCACTGCAACTTCTACCTCCTGGGCTCAAGTGATCCTCCCACCACAGCCTCCCAAGTAGCTGGGATTACAGGCATGCACCACCACACCTGCCTAATTTTTGCATTTTTAGTAGAGACAGAGTTTCACTACGTTGGTCAGGCTGGTCTTGAACTCCTGACCTCATAAGATCTGCCTGCCTTGGCCTCCCAGAATGCTGGGATTACAGATGTGAGCCATTACACCCGGCCTCAAGTGATCCTTCTGCATTGACCTCCCAAAGCGCCGGGAGTACAGGCATGAACCACCATGCCTGGCCCTTAAATCTATTACATTTTTAATTTTAGTGATCATATTTTTAATTTCCAAAAGTTCTTTCTTGTTCTTGGATTTTTTTTTTTTTTCACAGCACCTTGTTTTATAGATAGAATATATAGAATATTCTTCTTGGATGTATTTGGAGCTACTAATCAGTGTTTTCTTCCAAATTCTCTCTGTATCCTGATTTATATGTTTCTTCCAGCCTGGGTTGTTCTGTTTCTATTTATGCATGTATTTATTTATTTGTTGCTGGTTTTCCTCACACATTGGGCGACCTTGGTTGTGGGCGTGGATTTCCCTGGCTGCCATGCGTTTAGGTCTGTCTCCCTGCTGGGGCCCTATCTTGATGAGAAGTTTGTGAGTGCTGTTGATTCTTGAGCAGGGCTTCATTTGGGGTGCAAACGTCCAGCCCTGGTTTTCCTCGGTGTATTCAGATCTTGTAGAGAAGCATTCCGAGGCTTTCTTTCTTTCTCTTTTCCTCTGTGTTATGTTCTCCATTTTCTGTTCTATGTTCCAGACATTTATGTGAACCTTTCATCTACTTAGGGTCCCCTCCCAACTTCTCTTTACTTACAGGAATTTATCCACTTTCCCCTTTACTATGCTTTCTTTTTTTTTTTGAGATGGAGTCTTGCTCTGTCGCCCAGACTAGAGTGCAGTGGCGCCATCTCGGCTCACTGCAAGCTCCGCCTCCCGGGTTCACACCATTCTCCTGCCTCAGCCTCCCTAGTAGGCAGAACTACAGGTGCCCATCACTATGCCCGGCTAATTTTTTTGTATTTTTGGTAGAGACGGGATTTCACCATGTTAGCCAGGATGGTCTCAATCTCCTGACCTCGTGATCCGCCTGTCTTGGCCTCCCAAAGTGCTGGGATTACAGGCGTGATTTACTATGCTTTTTATAGGATCTTGGAGAGGAGGGAATGAGAGGAAAGAAAATGTGCCTAACATGCCGTTAAAAAAACAACAACAACAACAACAAAACCTTAGAAGTTAGTTTTCACGTGTTTCAAAATGATCATTGTAGAAAAGTGAGAAAATATAAACAGTCAAATAAAAATGACCTGTTCTTTTATCACCCAGAAATTACATTGTTAATGTTTTAAAACATGTTCCAGTTCCTTTTTCTATATATTTTTATAACAATGGGATCATACCAGATGTGTTCTGTTTTCTAATATGCTTCTTAAAACTAAGCAAAAGCTTCTAAACATCTTTCCATGTCACAACATATCCCTTACAATATTCTGAGACCTAGTATTTATTGAAAGCTATATCACTTATTTAGCCCATCCTCTATTTTTAGATGTTAGGTTGTTTCTAATTTCCACTATTCTAAACAAGCATTTATAAAAATGTTGGGCTAAATCTTCCCTCATAGCCTTGACTACCTACTTTGGGTAAAGTCCTCATAACGGAGTTGCTGGGTGACAGTATATGCACCCCCATCCACGGGCCAGCATTCAGGGTTCTCTCTGAAATACACTCCCCTACTTTCACTTTCTGGTTCCAAACTGTCACTTCACTGCCCTTCACTTGGATTCTGTGAAGCATTATGGCGGAGACATTGAGAGCATAATTTTCAGAGTCAGACAGACCAGGGTTGAATCTTAGCTTTGCCACTTATTAAATGTGTGACCTTAGACTGTTTTAATTAACCTCTTTGAGCACTTTTCTATAATATGAGGAAATAATTCTACTTTTCTGATGAGGTTGTTATGAGAATTAAACAGGATAAAAAAGTGCCTGTAAAGCACTTGACACAGGCCCAGGCAGGTTGAAAGTGTTCGCAAATCATGGTGTTGGATTCATTCCCGTCCCTAAGCCTGTTCAAATCCCTCTTTCAAGGCCACATTCAAGCTGCACCCCCTCTACGGGGCTTTCCTGACCAGGGCAGCCCATCACACTGAGTTGTTATGGCACTTGTGGGCTGGATCCTCATCCGATGTTCAGAACACCCTGTCTTGTTGTTTTCATATATTTGTTTGTAAGGGAAGAGGCAACACCCCCACCTCACCATGCAGCACAGTGCTGTGGGTCCCTTATGTGGGTCCATTCATTGTCATTAGTGTTCTTGCAGAAGAGAGGTGATGATGAAAAGGAGCTTGTGACTCCATGTCAGTGGCATCAGGATTGGTTTTTCTGGAGTTTATTTCAAACCCTTTGGTAGCTCAGGGGCTTGGAGGATGGTACCTGACCCCAAGGACACAGGAAGCTCCCATGGAATCAGCGGGCAGCAGAGGCAGGGAAAGCCACTGAGCAGGAGGCTGCCAGACCTTTGTAACGCTGAGCCTCTCCAGGGCATTGTCCCAGCTCAGCACGCAGCGCAGGACCTCTGTGCGCCTTGCAAGCCGCCTTCCTCCCCCTGGTTGCTTTGCACTGAGCGGTAGGATGCTTTTGGAGCCGGGAGGGCTTTCCTCCTGAGTCTCCTCCAACCCACAAAGGTCCCTTTCACGCCACAGGGATGCCTCCCTAGTTGCCAGGGGAGATGGAAAAGCAGCCTGTGCGCAGAGCTGCAGCTGGAGGGCTTGCTGTGGGACAGCTTCCAGGAGAGGGTCCGGGAGGAGAGGAAGGGGCAGCCCTGGGGAAGGTGATGCATGGAGAAGGCTGCTCACCCCATTCCCCATCTGGGTGTCTTTCAGGAGTCATGGCCGGTTTCAACATGGGGGGCGACCTCAGGGAGCCTGCCGCCAGCATCCCCCTGGGCTCCCTGGCAGCTGTTGGCATCTCGTAAGTTCCCCTCATGGCAATCAGTCCGAGCTGGAGAGTGGGAGAGAGAACCCCAGGCAGAAGAGGGATTGCCCCTTTTGTTCTGAGAGTGCCCCGACTGTGACCAATCTATTTCGTATTCCGATCCTTCTTTTAACACTCGGTGGGCTGGAAAATTCACGTCTGGTGGGTTCAGACACTGCCCTTTCATGCACCCTGCCTGGGAATGCTGCCGAGGAGGAGTGTCAGGACCCAGATCACAGATCAAATCCTTTCTTTCCTTTCCTCGGCCTCCCGCCCCCGTCCCTCCTCAACCTCCATTTTGAACTTGGGGACTTTTTTAACCACCAAGTTTCCAGGATCCCTGAAGGGAGCATAAAGATGAAGAGTTTTGCAGTCAGACAAATTCTGGTTTGCCTCTCAGCTCTGCCGTTGATTGGCTGCGTGACTCTCTGGATGATTTACTGAGTTCTCTGAGCCTCCATTTCCTTTCCTGTGAAATGGGGATGATGACAGTATATGTGCTTCATAGACTGTGGGGGAGAGAGTAGAAGGCACACAGTGGAAGCTTAGCACCCAGCTCTCCTTCTTCCCCCAGTGAGCCTCCCTTCCTACTCCCCCAGGCCATCAGGCCTCTGGGGTTTTAGTTCACACTGTGCCACCCACACAAGCAGGCTGGGTGACTTTGGGTCTGTTTCTGACTTTTTAGAATATTGTTTCTCTCTGTACCACAGGAAGAACCTTCTCTGCCCTTCATTGGGTGGGTGTGAAGAGGCAATGAGATCAGAGACCAGAGACAATGACTTGAGAAGTTAAAAGGGCCTGTGTTATTGTAACCACAGTATTTAGAAAATATTAATGTATCTGTTTCACAAACACTGAATTTGCTCTTAGCTTATTGCAGTGACACCTTTGCTCTCAGCCTGGAATACAGCATCAGGGTATTTTGTGCAAAACAAGGCCATACCATTGGGAAGAAAATGAAGACAACAGAGATAGAATTGAGTGTTGGGAAGGAAATAAAAGAAAGAGGCTTCTGTATGAGGACCCTGTCTTGTTTCTGGTCCCAGCTGGGAGGTTCCAGGATGAACCCTTGGCCCATCGTCTTGCTACCCAGATGGGAGTGAGGAGACCACAGGAACCTGGGTCTTGTTCAAGGTTACAGGGCATCTTGGGGACAGAGCCAGGCCTCTGCTCCTGCCTTTTGACTTTAGTTTCCCTCTTTATTATCTGATCTAAAGATAACAGACCAGCAGGACTTAGAGGCCTGAAGGATCATCAGCCTGTTCTTTTGCTGGAGGAGGCTGGGATGTGAGGCTGCGGGGCAGCCCTGGCCTGAATCCTGACAACCTAGAGGCAACTGGGCCTCCCGCTTCCCTACTCAGAATGCTCGTTGTGTAGTTTTCTTTTTTAATGTAAGAAAGAGAAAAAACAGTGCTCACTTCAGCAATACATATACTAAAATTAAAACAATACAGAGATTTGTGTGGCCCGTGTGCAAGGATGACATGCAAATTCATGAAGCATTCCATATTTTTATATACGTTTAAAAGTAAAAAAATAAACAAAACAATGGTACTCCTTTTTTGGTAAGAAATATGCCAGAAGAGAAATAGTACAAAAAGTGTCCTCCCAAGCCAGCTGGGGAAGCTTCATGACTGGCCTTTCTCTCATTCTGAGACAGGTTCCCTTTGGAAACAGAAGGTTGAGTCGGGGGACTGGATGGGGCTGGGTGAGGTGAGTGGGGGGCAGCTCTGTTCTGCTCTTGGGTTTTCAGGTGGTTTCTGTACATTGTCTTCGTTTTCCTCCTGGGCGCCATCTGCACGCGAGAGGCCCTTCGCTATGACTTCCTGATAGCGGAAAAGGTGAGAAAGGCTTGCGCTCCTCGAAGGGCTCAGTCTGCTGGAGTCATTTGTTTGTTTTCACCAACAAATGGCCACCTTCCCCTTGCAGTACTGTCTGGGAATCCATATAGTCGTTTAAAAATTTAATTAATTTATTTTTTGAGACAGGGTCTCACTTTGTTGCCCAGGCTGGTGTGCAGTGTTGCAATCTCAGCTCACTGTAGCCTCAACCTTCCAGGCGCAAGCAATTCTCCTGTCTCAGACTCCCAGGTAGCTGGGACTACAGGGGCATGCCATCATGCTGGGCTAATTTGTTTTTAATTTTTTGGTAGAGATGAGGTCTCACTGTGTTGCCCAGCCTGGTCATAAACACCTGGCCTCAAGTGATCCTCCCGCCTTGGCCTCCCAAAGTGCTGGGATTACAGGCTTGAGCCACCGCGCCCAGCCTCCCTATAGTCTCTAGCCCAGGAATGAAGTGTTGGGTTGTGATGGGGAAGAGAGATGGTGGAAAAGGTACAGGCTCTGCTTAGGGATTTCGAGAAACAGATAACGATGCCCAGAGAGATTCACAAACATGAGGGGCTAGATAATGGTGACATCTCTTCCTGTCAAAAATCAGGACAGAAACAGAAGAATTTGTTCACCCCAAATTCCCAGCTAAGCAAGTGCCTCACTTTTGCGAATAGCTTCACCTTGCATGATGAATAGAACGTGCTGTTCAGAAGTGGCAAGTGGAGAAGGAGGCTGGGAACAGACAGAGGTGGAGGGAGAGGGAGGAAGCCCAGCGCCAGGGTGAGGGCCAAGGCCCTCCTTGTCTCTGAGGTCCTTGACCCCTTTTGCTTTCCTGAGAATCTCAGACACTGCGGGTTGATTTGGCTGCAACATCTTTGTTTCTAGAGTCCGCACCCTGCCAGGAGAGGATTAATGAATTCCTGGCGTTCCTCCGTTAGCAGGCTGGAGGTCATGTGACATCAAGGACATTTATTTGGCATCCTAGAATCCACATAAGATTTCCAGATATTTTTCTGGAAATCCCCAAAAACTCCTACCCTCCTTTAAGTTCTTGGAGAAAAAGTAGACCCTGAGATTCCCATCATTTTTCGGAGAAATGTAGTTGGTTAGGGAGTTTTTCTGTTAACTCCTGAGTATCGCTGCTTATATTTTATGTATTTTTAAATTTAACTTAATATTTTAACTTTTTAAAGACAGGGTCTCACTCTGTCACCCAGGCTAGAGTACAGTGACATGAACATGGCTCATTAGAGCATCAACTTCCAGGGCTCAAGTGATTCTCCCACCTCAGCCCCCCAAGTAGCCAGGACTACAGACATGCACCACTACACCTAGCTAATTTTTTTTTTCAATTTTTTTGTAGAGACAGGGTTTTACCATGTTGCCCAGGCTGGTCTCAAACTCCTGGCTTTAAGTGATCCTCCCACGTCAGCCTTCCAAAGTGCTGGGGTTACAGGCGTGAGCCCCTATGTTTGAGGATGGAGTACCATTTTCTCTTGGTGTGAGGCTTTGCACAGCAGCCCTGCTGATCTTCGTGGAGGGCCAGTGCCTGGGGCAACCTGGGCCAGGAAACTCTGAATTTTCTTTTGAGAGATACGTTTGAGCTTGGTTTTCACATTAGCACAGGTTTCTTTTTAAGGCTTGTAGGCACCCATGCAAAGGTGATTATTTGTTTTCAAGAGTTTTGACCTTAGTATAAAAGCAGGTTTTTTGAAAGGCGGTGCAGTTCAGGTAGTGAGAGAACTGATACCCACCTTTCAGCACCCAAGGTCACAGACCCCCAGGCGGCAAGGTGTGCTCTCGAGGCAGGAGTCCATAGCCCTCCTTTGTATCTACATGCACGCTTCCGTCTGGAGTTTCACTCCCAAGAGCCTGTTCTCTAGCTGCGGAATGAAAAGCTTGGCTGCATGACAGGAATTGAAGGCCTGAGGGAGCAGCCTGGGTGAGGCTGGTTTAACCGGGGGAAATGCTTCCTGCTGGTCTGCAGCTTGCCAGTGGCTGGCCAGCTCTGCCTGCTTCTAAAGTTCCTTTCTCGTGCTTTCCTTCACAGAGGTCCTTCCACCCTTTAGAGACTCTGATCTGATTATCCCCTGGGCCGCGGCTCCTCCTTCCTCTCCTTCCCCTGCTTTTCAAGGGAATGCTCAGAGTAGGTATATGGGAGGACAGGCAGCTTTGTATCTAAGGCCACAAACAGCACTAGGGTAAAAACAGCCTAGAGACAGCATCTGAGAGCCTTTGTGGGTGGAAATTCCACACCTAATAATAGGCACACGAACCGGGGAAGCGTCCTTTGGAATGCCACCTATCCCGACAGTGAGCAGGTAGGCAAGCACTTAGCCAGCTGGGGGCACCTGCGGCACCAGGCCTAGCAATGACACTTGGGAATGTCATTATGCACACACTGGGATGAAAGGTGGAGATGTAGTTTTTGGAGAGGACAAGAGACCGTTCCCTGGAATAGGCCATTGTAAAGCCTATAAAGGAACAAAGCTACTGCTCTTGGTTCTCAGTAGAAATGGGCAGGTGCAGCAAGTCAGTGAGCTGTGATGGAACCGACCCTGATGACTTCAAAATAGCAGCACCTGGGTCTTCTGGTTCCCACTACCCACTCCCTAAAGGGGACCACACAGGAGTTTCCTCCCACACCTTTTGTGCTTTCCTGCTCCCTGGTGTCGCTCCTTGGGACTGACTCCGCTGCCGCTGCAGGAGCAGGTACCATGCTCAGGCGGTAGATTGGGCCACAGATGTTTTTACTGGCAGTGGCTGGAGAAGGGGAGGGTGCAACCTACACTGCTTGGGAGGTGCAAGTGCAGTCTCTTTACCTTGGTCACTTGATACAACCTGCCACCCTGATAACCTATTCACCTCAGCTTCCTGTCTTACCTGTGGCTTCAGTTCTGAGCCAGCGCATCTCTGAACTTTCCTGGGCCTGAAGAAAGGCCTCTTCTGTATGTGTGCCCCGTGCATTACCTCTGGACACTGAGACAGGGCGGGTCTCTGACCTACTCTCCTTGGCGCTCGTTCACACGCTGCTCCCCAACGCACTCCTCTCTCTCTCGGGGGCTTTCTGCCAGAACAATTATCTTCAATGGCTGCAGGCTGCCCGGGATTCCTTTCTACTGATTTGCAGCTGGTCAGTTAATCTGTTTCTGTCTGGGTTTCCTACAGCTTCTCTGATCTATTTCTAATTATTTGGCTTCTCAAATCAGTTTCTCTAAGAAGCGTCTTTTTACTTTTTCTTTTTTTTTTTGAGACGGAGTTTCGCTCTTGTTGACCAAGTTGGAGTGCAATGGCATGATCTCGGCTCACTGCAACCTCCACCTCCCGGGTTCAAGCGATTCTCTGTCCTCAGCCCCCCAAGTAGCTGGGATTACAGGCACATGCCACCATGCCTGGTTAATTTTTTGTATTTTTAGTAGAAACGGGTTTCACCATGTTAGCCAGGCTGGTCTCGAACTCCTGACCTCAGGTGATCCGCCTGCCTCAGCCTCCCAAAGTGCTGGGATTACAAGGGTGAGCCACTGTGCCTGGCCACATCTTTTTACTTTTTATCCCAACCACAGAGGAATTTTCTCCCAGCTCTCAGGTGTATGTGCATTCTTAAAAGTCTTGTATACAGTGGTGGCTCTGAGATAGCCCATGAAAGCACGTAGTAGGTGCTAATTATAATACATTTTACCTGGCACATAGCAGGTGCTAATTAAATTTTAACTCCCTTCCACACTCCTTATGGGCATACCCTTACAGATCAAAACATTTATTTTAGGAACACATTTTCTCCCCACAAATCCACCATATTTAATAGGAAAAGCCAAAATAGTCAATCTCAGTATTATTTAGTTAGAAAAGGAATTGTATAAACCACAGTGTTAGTTGGGGTGAAATAGATTAAATGTTTCAAGATAAACTTGTATACAGTCCAGGAAACAGATGTTTATTACAAATAAAAAAGACCAAATATCTTAGGAGTCCTGGGGCTTGCTAACTAGCAAAATAAGAGCAATCTAAGAAGGAAAAATATCCCAAAAGTATTGTTGTTAAGACTAGGGAATCTGGCCAGCTCATGCCTGTAATCCCAGCACTTTGGGAGGCCGTGGTGGGCAGATCACTTGAGGTCAGGAGTTCAAGACCAGCCTGGCCAACACAGTGAAACCCCATCTCTACCAAAAAATACAAAAATAAGCCAGGCATGGTGGTGCACGCCTGTAGTCCTAGCTACTCAAGAGGCTGAGGCAAGAGAATCGCTAGAACCCGGGAAGTGGAGGTTGTAGTGAGCCAAGATTGTGTCACTGAACACCAGCCTGGGCAATAGTACAAGACTCTGTTTAAAAAAAAACAAAAAGCCTAAAAAACTGGGTAATCCCACAGAGCAAACTCTGATTCCTGGATTTAATAGTCATGGTTTCACATATTCATGAGGGACCTTGGAAGCTCATGACACAAGCTGTACAGGGAAGATGGGGATGGGACAGCGCTGGTGACTAGGGAGTGAGTCCTAGTGGGCCACTCAGCACCTGGGAGTGGGTCAGCCTGAGTGTCCTCTGCCCTCCATCGTGGACACAGTCCTGCCTCTCAGGAAGGGAAGCAGACTAGGTCTCATTATGGAAAATGGCTTTCAAGTGAGAGGTAAAACTGAAAATGGCTTTCAAGTGAGATGTTGATCAGTTCGTGGAGCGTGGAGA